ACTGAAGCAGAGATCACGGCTGAAGATACTGACCCACTGAGGATGACAGTGTTTGGTGAAACCTTTCTATCATCACTACACTAGACATTAACACTTTATTTTTTACCTTCCCACCTTATGCAACTGCTGTGAACTTACACCTTCTTCCCCCTCTACACCTCATGCCACTGGCGTCAGAGACCTGAAAATCGGGCACCTGGAACAGGGCCACATCTAAAACACTTGAAACCTCGAAAAAAAAGACAATCGAATGGTGTGCCATTTCTCCTTTTGCGCCATCACTTAACCCCTATATGTCTGAGCTGAAACCTTCAGTGTGACTGACACTGTTACGTATAGCGGCGCTACACAGTGACTAACACACTACACTTTACCACGTAGCTGCACTCGATCTTGAAAATGCATTTCTCTTCTATCTTCCATTCCTTTCTTTTCACCCCCTCTTTTTCTTTATTTCTTCCGTTTACAACTTCACTGACCTTTACCCTGAGGTCATAAAGGGAATTAACAAAGATATATGACGTCATCAGGTAAGGAAACGTATAAAAATAAATTTTACGTTGAATGGTGGCGTTGAACGTTTGTGTTGAACGGTCGCGTTGAACGATGGCGCTGAACGGTGCCGTTGAACAATTTCATTGAACATTGGCACGAAAATGGCGAAAAAATAACAGAGGGCAAAGTCGTTTTCTGTTGCTTTCTATGTATCAATGTGCACTAGTGTATTAACATACACTAGTGTATTAACATACACTAGTGTATTAACATGCCTAGTGTATTAACATACCACTAGTGTAATTAACATACACTAGTGTATTAACATCCCACAAAGTGTTTTAACTTTACACTAGTGTATTAACATGCACTAGTGTATTAACATGCACTAGTGTATTAACATACACTAGTGTATTAACATACACTAGTGTATTAACATACACTAGTGTATTAACATACACTAGTGTATTAACATGCACTAGTGTATTAACATACACTAGTGTATTAACATACACTAGTGTATTAACATACACTAGTGTATTAACATAACTAGTGTATTAACATACACTAGTGTTTTAAAACATGCACTAGTGTTTAACATACACTATGTATTAACATACACTGGTGTTTTAACATACACTAGTGTATTAACATACACTAGTGTATTAACATACACTAGTGTATTAACAGCACTAGTGTATTAACATACACTAGTGTATTAACATACACTAGTGTATTAACATACACTAGTGTATTAACATACACTAGTGTATTAACATACACTAGTGTATTAATATGCACTGTGTATTAAAAATATACTAGTGTTTTAAACATACACTAGTGTTTTAAACATACACTTGTGTATTAACAAGCACTAGGTATTAACATACACTAGTGTATTAACATACACTAGTGTATTAACATGCACTAAGGTATTAACATACACTAGTGTATTAACATGCACTAGTGTATTAACATGCACTAGTGTATTAACATACACTAGTGTATTAACATACACTAGTGTATTAACATGCACTAGTGTATTAACATACACTAGTGTATAACGTGCTTAGTGTATTAAAACATCACAAGTGTTTTAAATACACTAGTGTATTAACATACACTAGTTATTAAAACATACACTAGTGTATTAACATACACTAGTGTATTAAATTTTTACGCTAGTGTATTAACATAACTAGTGTATTAACATGCACTAGTGTATTAACATACACTAGTGTATTAACATACACTAGTGTATTAACATACACTAGTGTATTAACATACACTAGTGTATTAACATACACTATTTGATTAACATAAACTAGTGTATTAACATACACTAGTGTATTAACATCACTAGTGTATTAACATGCACTATGTATTAACATACACTAGTGTTTTAAAACATGCACTAGTGTATTAACAGGGCACTAGTGAAATTTAAACATACACTAGTGTATTAACATCACTAGTGTATTAACATTACAGTGTATTAACATACACTAGTGTTTTAAACTTTACACTAGTGTATTAACATACACTAGTGTATTACATGCACTAGTGTATTAACATACGCTAGTGTATTAACATACACTTAGTGTATTAAACTTACACTAGTGTATTAACATACACTAGGTATTAACATACACTAGTGTATTAACATACACTAGTGTATTAACAGCACTAGGGGTATAACATACACTAGTGTTTTAACATACCTGTGTATTAACATACACTAGTGTATTTAACATACACTAGTGTATTAACATACACTAGTGTATTAACATACACTAGTGTATTAACATACACTAGTGTATTAACATACACTAGTGTATTAACATGCACTATGTATTAACATATCCCTAGTGTATTAACTTTACACTAGTGTATTAACATACACTAGTGTATTAACATACACTAATGTATTAACATACACTAGTGTATTAACATACACTAATGTATTAACATGCAGGTCCCGCTGTGATCCCGTCTCCTCCAACATAACATTAGTATATTAACATACATCTTTAGTGTTTTCAACTGGTCATTATAACTCATAATTTTCAGCGCTGCTGCCCATTGTGTGACTGTTTGGGAAGATGTTTTCTTATCCCCAGTTCATTTAGATGTTTTCTTATCCCCAGTTCATTTAGATGTTTTCTTATCCCAGTTTTTTAGATGTGTCTTATCCCAGTTTCATTAGATTTTGTCTTTATCCCCAGTTCATTTGGGATGTTCTTTATCCCCAGTTCATTTAGATGTTTCTTATCCCCAGTTCATTTAGATGTTTTCTTATCCCCAGTTCATTTAGATGTTGTCTTATCCCCAGTTCATTTAGATGTTGTCTTATCCCCAGTTCATTTAGATGTTTTCTATCCCCAGGTTTCATTTGATGTTGTCTTATCCCAGTTCATTTAGATGTTTCTTATCCCAGTTCATTTAAAATGTTTTCTATCCCAGTTCATTTAGATGTTTCTTACCCCCAGTTCATTTAGATTTGTTTATTCCCAGTCATTTAGATGTTTCTTATCCCCAGTTTCATTTAGATGTTTTCTTATCCAGTTTCATTTAGATGTTGTCTTATCCCCAGTTCATTTAGATGTTGTCTTATCCCCAGTTCATTTAGATGTTTCTTATCCCCAGTTCATTTAGATGTTTCTTATCCCCAGTTCATTTAGATGTTTCTTATCTCCAGTTCATTTAGATGTTTTCTTATCCCCAGTTCATTTAGATGTTTTCTTATCCCCAGTTCATTTAGATGTTGTCTTATCCCCAGTTCATTTAGATGTTTCTTATCCCCAGTTCATTTAGATGTTTTTTCTTATCCCAGTTATTTGATGTTTTCTTATCCCAGTTTCATTTAGATGTTTTCTTATCCCAGTTCATTTAGTGTTTTCTAATTCCCAGTTCATTAGAGTTTCTTTTCCCCAGTTATTTAGATGTTTTCTTATCCCAGTTCATTTAGATTTTTCTTATCCCCGTTCATTTAGATGTTTTTTTTCCCCAGTTCATTTAGATGTGGACACAACACAGCTGCTACATATTTAAAATCTGGACTAATATGTTGCAAATATGTTTTTTAGCATGTCAACATCTACGTATTTGGAATCTATTTTATAATTTAGTGAATTTTCTTACACTCTTAAATTTCATTTCTGTGATCAGTATTTTCTTTGGTCTATATTCCTCCGATCTCGCTTTCGGGTTATATCATGTGACATTTATCTGCATTAATTGTTTCATATATTATTCTAAATTTAGCTTCCGTCGTGTAGTGTGTGGGGTGTTTGTGTGTGTGTGTGTTTGTGTGTTTTTGGGTGTGTGTGTTGTGTTTGTGTGTGTGTGTGTTTGGGGTTTTGTTTTGTGTGTGTGTGTGTGTGTGTGTGTGGGTGTGTGTGTGTGTGTGTGTGTGTGTGTGTGTTTGTGTGTTTTGTGTGTGTGTGTGTGTGGTGTGTGTGTTTGTGTGTGTGGGGTGTTTGTTTTTGTGTTTGTTGTGTGGGGTGGTGTGTGTGTGTGTGTGTGTGTGTGTGTGTGTGTGTGTGTGTGTGTATGTGGTTGTGTGGGTGTGTTTTGTGTTTTGTGTGTGTGGTGTGTGTGTGTGTGTGTGTGTGTGTGTGTTGGGGTTGTGTGTGTGTGTGTGTGTGTGTTTTGTGTGTGTGTGTGTGTGTGAAACAGGGTGTCCAAAAAACACTCCCTGATTTCAAACAAGTATAACATGTAACTTTATTGTAATAATCTTTCACAGTTAGTAGCTTCAGATGCAGGATTTCATTCAGTTTCATGTGGTATAAGGTAGCATTAAAGGCACTCAATGTGCGCCACTCTAGTTGCTCGGCAAACATCGATGCGATAGTCCAGTTCGGTCCAGACGCTCTGTAGCATATCTGGTGTTATCATGCAGACTGTTCAGTGATCGAAATTTTCAGCTCCTCCAGTGTTGCACGTAGTGGTGGTACGTAAACTGTGATCTTCACGTACCCTCAAAGAAAGAAGTCACAAACAGTTAGGTCCGGTGACCTCGCAGGCCACTTGCTACTTCTACTTACACTTAGGCCACACTACACATGCATGTACAAGTATATATATTACACACCCCTCTGTCTTTTCTTTTATTTTTATACTAGTTCTTGTGTTTTTATTGTTTCCTCTTATCTTCATGGGAAAGTGGAACAGAATTCTTCCTCCGTAAGCCATGCGTGTTGTAAGAGGCGACTAAAATGCCAGGAGCAAGGTGCTAATAACCCCTCCTGTGTATATTACTACTGTATACATTCTTTTTGGGCCACCCTGCTTCGGTGGGATATGGCCGGTTTGTTGAAAGAATATATATTTTATATAATATAAAATTTTTATATATTATATAATATATATTTTATATATTAAAATATATATATAAAATATATATAACCGTTCTCGACTGAGGACAATGTAATTTCTATTTTTCTGTATTTATTTCGTCCTGAACAAATTTACATCAAGAAAAATTCTAGACGAGGTCAAAAATTTACGATGGCGGTTTTCCTATATTCGAAAAGATTTACAGCCATATTATTTCCTTTTCTCTGAGTTTCAATCTTCGTTTGCATCAGAGCATTAACACTGTGGTGGCGGCGGCGGCGGCGGCGGTGGTGGAGGCGACGAGGCGGCTTCGGGGGCTGTGGCCCCCCACCCAACCAGCATATTTCACAGTCAGCCACAGCTCTCACACATTAATTACAAAGTTCATAACTAACATATTCGTTTCAGACTTCTGTAACAAGTTTCAGCGATGAGTTTCCGCATTACATGAGATAGTTTCAGAGTTTTCTAATGCATTCTCGTATTTCAGTGGCAGTGTGCGAAATCTGAACAATTTTCCCCCGTGTTCTTCGTGGTGTAACAACGTCATTTTAACCGGCGTTAATATTTGTTCATTGTGATAAAAATCACTAAAAACATAAACTTATAACCAGCATCATTGTTTCTCATCAGTAGTTTATTTATAGCCTTACGTATTTAGCGCTTATCCGTGAATATAAAAATAGTTACACTTTCTCTGTTTGGAATTTTAACGAAAGTTCCTATTTATTCCAGGTACAATAACATGGCTGGAACAAATGACAAATATTTAACAATTATGAAAATGTTACGACGTTCCTTCTGTCAGTAATGAACCATTAAGTCACAGCTGACTTGTCAGTCTATGAGCTGACAATTGTACAAGACAGACCAAAACGCCATCTTTCTTTTCATACGCGACCCAAAAGCTGCAGTGGCAGGTCATCACATGACTAAGATCCGCGTCAGGAATCCCTTGTCCTGGTTCCTGACGAATCTTACCTAATCTATCATAAGTGTGGTTCTATTATAAAGAAGGAAGCGGCTGGGGAACCTTTACAAGTAATCTACACATGGAAGAATCTCTCTACTTTTATCTTGAGCTTCTTCGTAACCACCTAACGTATTTCCCTCGTCAGCAGCACGCTATTGGAGCTCAGTTGTCGTTGTCACGTTGACAGTGTTCAGACCTTGATGACGGGGTCATGTCTGGTGGTGCAGCAGGTTTCTTGTAGTCATATTGGCGTTGTTCAGACCTTGGTGACGGGGTCGTGTCTGATGGTGGAGTATGTGTGACAGCCGTAGTCGTCAGCAATGATGTGTCTGGTGACGGCAGTGTGGTCGTCAGGGGGCCATGGCGCCAGGGGCCCCGGTGGCCACCCACGACCCAGCTTATCCCTCTGGCGACGCCTACGATACCTGAGGAAGGAGAGAGAGGTCAGCCAGTTCACACCGAGGTGGTCACAATGACGGTATCTGAGTAGTCATGGGAATGGCAAACATTGTAGCATTTAAAAAGTATAACCCGAGAAACTTTCACCTTCTACTCTATACTAAAAAATACTTCTATGCACAAGTATGCTCCCCTTCAAATTGAAAAAAATCAGTCAAAATACATTAATAATATTGATACATTATATCGGCAACATCATTAACAGACTAGTAATCTGAGCCTCTACCAACGAAACATCACTGGAAGTTGATCCTAGAAATAGGATGCAGATGCAAAAAAGTAATACAATGAATAAGTACACTTGTGTACAGTTGAGGACATTTATTAAAGGAGACGTTGCACTATGAGTAGGTCCATCAGTCCTAATAGAGTAAACTAAAACAAGGCCAGAGTTGTTATATGTGCTAGTGGAAATTTAAACTCTCACATCAGAAACAATACAGATGCGGAAGGGACAGAGACACAGAATCTCTTTGGCTACAGTTTCTTGAAGGGCGTGAAAAGCTAGTATACAGCACTTCTATATCGAGAGAGTGACCCGAGTAAACTCTTTGGCACAGTGCCAGTGACCTGTAACAAGAGTGAGGTGAAGTCTGTGATGCTTCAGGGTCTTTTTCCACCAATTACAATCCAATACCGAATATGATTAGTAAAGCAAAAGCAAGAGCATCACGAAGAGAATTATTAGGAAACAACGAGCGTATAGACGCAATGAAGGAAAAGATAAAATGAAGATTCGGGGATAAGACAAGTGAGGCGAGATCGCTTGAAAATAATGCAGGTGAACAGCATAGAGAAAACCTGGTATAAACCTGATACCTGATACCGGGCATAAACATTAGCACTTGATACCGGGTATAAACCTTGGTACTTGATACTCTTCTCCAAACTGAGGGACTGACAACCTCAGAGTATTCCTACAAGGTTGATGGACTGAATACATCCTCTTTACCCCGTCACTTCTGCTGCCTTCAATGTATTCTCTGTATTTGACTGAAGAAGTCTACAGCGTAGGCGAAACGTTTCAACAATAAAGATATGCAACTGTTGCACATGTGTCGTTCTTATTTATGATCAGTTACTATGTGGGGAACCCGTTTTAGACGTGTCCTGGCTCAGCTATATTTTAGAAGCCGTCGTTCTGGTTGATATTACTAGGTATGCTGATGACTGATAAGTCCAGGATCTAGCGTCTCTCTCAGTGTCTTCCTCCTTGACCACGAGTCGTGCGTCCTCGTAACTGATCAAGTGGTTGTGGGAGTTTCGGTGTGAAAAACAGACATTATTTATAAGAGGTATATGATACCGACAGTATGTTGAAAAGGGTAGAAAATACCGACAAGTTTAAGATAAAGACACATGTGCAACAGCTGGCAAATATAGAGGCAGCAGGTACAGTAGCAAAATGAAGATGATGTTATCAGTCTATCAACGTTGGTGAAGTAGTATCTGAGGTGGTCAGTCCCTCGGTCTGAAGAAGAATTCTTGTTTGTCAGAACTTAATCAAGCAGGTAAATTCTTCTCGTTGGTGATGTTACAAATAGTTTTAAAACACAGTCCTGGATTACCTCTAGGTAGTCTCTTGATTCTAGGTTCATAGTCAGAGAATTTAAGTCAAACTGACTGAAATTAAAATCACCGAGAATTACTACGTTATCGCGCTTAGAAGCCTTAAAAAGTTACTTCCAAAGAGGTCTTCCTCGGTCCCATGGTTTCTTGGTCCCTCGGTCCTTTGGTCTCTTGGTCTCTCTGTCCCTTGGTCCCTCGGTCCCTTAGTCCCTTGGTTTCTTGGTCACTTGATCCTTTGGTCCCTTGGTCCCTCGGTTCCTTGGTCCCTCGGTTCCTTGGTCCATCGGTTCCTTGGCCCCTTGGTTTCTTGGTCCTTCGGTCCTTTGGTGCTATGGTTCTTTGGTCCCAGTATAGTTAATGAATGAGATACCTGTGCAATACTCGAGCATCATTACTGTGGAAACTCTTGCCTAACCTATAAATATTGAAGCCGTTCATTACTTCCACTGGTGACGCCGCCTCCAGCTGCTTCACCTCACTTGTCTGCAGCATATAACCTCCGTTTCCGCGTATATAATATACTTTTATCAAAACTGATGGACTGAACACATCAACTAAAGACTATGAGACTGATTAGCTCAAACTTCCTATCTTCCACCGTTCTTCTCTATATTTAACTGATAATGAATCCACTGGCTGGCGAAACATTTCCACAATAAAGACTCCCAAGTGTTACACAAGTGTTCCAGTCATTTATCTAATCCTAATACTATCTAATACTATCCAATAGAGTTGATGACGAGGATACACAAAGGTTCATCCTCTCTCTCCAAGTTTACTGTTTATTACCTGATAAAACCCACCATGTGGGCAGAACTTTGTCAATAAAGAATCGTATTATTCTACATTTGTGTCTTTGTGCATCGTGTCGGCATTTTATGCCATTTCTTTTCACTGAAGGACGAAAGAGGGTGAGGAATAAGAGAGGAAAACTTAAAAATATTGAGGGAGGAATGAGGGTGAGAACTAAAAGAAAGAGAACTTGAAAATGGAAACAATCAAGCTTCCCCAGAGGATCATCGAGCCAACAGTGATGATAATGAAGAGTAAATGAGATGAATAAGGCATAAGTCAGGCCACAGGGAATACAAAATGACCCACTCATCAGTCCTCATTAACTTAAAAATGGCGTCAGTGTTCAGCAGAATGGTCCACAGACGCCTTATTTTTGGATGACCAAATAGCAACGACCACCTTATATAAAGACACTGCAGAATAAACGTTTATTTAAACAACGTTTTACACAAAGCTGAGACATTTTTTGAACGTTTCGACTTCGTAAAAATTCATCTTGGCGCGAAACGACCCTTTCTAAAAATTAGGGTTACTTATGAGGTGTTTCAACCATGGCTTTGAGACTTTTATTCTATTGGAGGGTGTCGTAGCACCGTGTCGTAGGACGGTGTTGAAGCACCGTGTAGAAGAACCGTGTCGTAGCAGTGTCGAAGCACCGTGTCGTAGCACCGTGTCGTAGCACCGTGTCGTAGCGCCGTGTCGTGGCACGGTGTCGTAGCACCGTCTTTTACGCTCATCTGCGTAACATGTGGAGGATGAGACATGATAAATAAGACACGTATGTAACACTTTAGCATCTTTATGCGTCTCATTCTTTATGTGTCTCATTCTTTGTGTCTCATTCTTTATGTGTCTCATTCTTTGTGTCTCATTCTTTATGTGTCTCATTCTTTATGTGTCTCATTCTTTGTGTCTCATTCTTTGTGTCTCATTCTTTATGTGTCTCATTCTTTATGTGTCTCATTCTTTGTGTCTCATTCTTTGTGTCTCATTCTTTATGTGTCTCATTCTTTATATGTCTCATTCTTTATATGTCTCATTCTTTATGTGTCTCATTCTTTGTGTCTCATTCTTTGTGTCTCATTCTTTATGTGTCTCATTCTTTATGTGTCTCATTCTTTGTGTCTCATTCTTTGTGTCTCATTCTTTATGTGTCTCATTCTTTGTGTCTCATTCTTATGTGTCTCATCTTTATGTGTCTCATTCTTTGTGCTCATTCTATTGTGTCTCATTCTTTATGTGTCTCATTCTTTGTGTCTCATTCTTTATATGTCTCATTCTTTATGTGTCTCATTCTTTGTGTCTCATTCTTTGTGTCTCATTCTTTATGTGTCTCATTCTTTATGTGTCTCATTCTTTGTGTCTCATTCTTTGTGTCTCATTCTTTATGTGTCTCATTCTTTGTGTCTCATTCTTTATGTGTCTCATTCTTTATGTGTCTCATTCTTTGTGTCTCATTCTTTGTGTCTCATTCTTTATGTGTCTCATTCTTTGTGTCTCATTCTTTGTGTCTCATTCTTTATGTGTCTCATTCTTTGTGTCTCATTCTTTATATGTCTCATTCTTTATATGTCTCATTCTTTATGTGTCTCATTCGCCAACTTGTAAGTACTATTTACCAATATTATAAAATAGAAAGTTAGAGGGAAATCGAATAAAATACCCAAAAGATGTAATAAAAAAAACAAATTCTCTTTAATGAGATCGTTTGTGGACAACGTTTCGCCCCACGCAGTGGACTTTATCAGTAAAATACAGAGGAGAACGCATTGTAGACACCAGGAGTAGTTCCGAAGGTAAGAATGATGTCATCAGTCCATCAGTCTTGGAGTAATAGCTTGAGGTGGTCAGTCCCTCAGCTTGGAGAAAAGTTCATCTCGATGGTCTGGAACAGTGAGAAGCTGATCCTGAGAATGGAGTCTTAAATAGTGTGGAAGGTGAGGTGGAAGATCTAGAAGACGGTCCAGGAGACTGGCTTCACTAGCAGAAGAATGTTTCAGCTTCGTATACGGGGAGGTGGTAATAAGAGGCTGAATAATAGAAAAAAAGTGAAAAATCGGATAAAAGAGAGAAGTGGAGGAATGGAGAGTAGTGGAAGAAGAGTGGAGGAATGGAGAGTAGTGGAAGAAGAGTGGAAGGAGAGTGGGAGTGGCAAGAGGAGAGTGGGAGGGTGGGAGGAGACTGGGAGAGAGGAAAGTGGTAGAGAGAATGCCATTAAATTCAAGAGAAACACTGAGATAATTTGAAGCCGTGCATATGTGGACACCTGCACATATGTTTGTTAACAAGCACCTACGATACGACGATTCGCTACGTGCACTTAGAAGCCGTACACGCGTGATGGTCAACAGCTCCTGGAAGTCGTGCACACGTGCTGGTCAACAGCTCCTGGAAGTCGTGCACACGTGCTGGTCAACAGCTCCTGGAAGTCGTGCACACGTGCTGGTCAACAGCTCCTGGAAGTCGTGCACACGTGCTGGTCAACAGCTCCTGGAAGTCGTGCACACGTGCTGGGTACAGTCTCTTCTTTTGCAAAACAAGTTTGTCACTCCTGGTCTGAATTTCAAGCAGTTTTCTGATGGTCTGTGTGTTCCCAAACCTG